AAAGGTTTGCAACTTCAGGAAGCAAAACCTTCCTTTTTTGTTACCTCTTCAACTAGGCAAATAGCAGTTCAAGGGTAACTTGCATGCAGAGCCTGAGTCTTCAGCAGCTTTGAGTTGACTGATCCTAACTGAAAGCTTCCCCATTCCTCCAGTAACTCTGGCTCTGCTCTTGTGAGCCCATGAGCTTGGAGTATAGAAAGCTTTCGGAAAAATGATCTCATCAAAACAGGGTTCCAGTGCAAACAGCAAATACCTGCCTGGTACGTAAGTGCCTTCTGCAATAAATCGCTCCTTCTGCTTGTGCAACGTACATGCATTTCAGTTCAGTTTTCTTTCTGTTTACCTCACTGATGGTGTGGTTCTCATGTCTGAACAATCTCGATGAGTGAAATCGGGGGATGAAAGTCAAAACGTGCTGGACTGATTTTCCGTTTCTGCAGCTCTTGGTAGTGACTCTTCAGTGTATTTTAATGGCTTTCTGTGATGTCTCTGATCTTCATCTCTTATAAAGGGAAACTCGTGAAGAACTAGTGTACTGAAACCTTTTATCTATTAGAGTTCAGTCAGAGGGCCGGCCTTCTGACAGCTGGTACTCTCTCCTTATACTTAGAGTCATAATCCAGGTTGGTTTGCGCTTACACAAATTACACCGTGATTAATTTCAGATTGTAGAATGCAAATTTGGATCCGTTTGATGCTGAAGATTTCCAGCATAACGTCATTTAAAAGCGTGAATTTTTATGATAATGGTATACCGTCATAGGTTTTCTTTTGCAGAAAAAGGGAAGTGGAGAAGAAGTAACGTGACTGTGACACAACTGGGGTTTTTTTTGTCCTCGTTCCTAATAATGTTTGCGTTACTTGATGCACACAAAATACTGCAGTGAGGTTGAGGAACTGAGGCTGGAAGATGAAACAGCCATGAGGGTACTCAAGATACGCGACCCATTATATGAAACCACTGAAGTGATGAATATTAACGTTCTTTTAAATTTTTAATTTTTAAGTCTTTCTGTCTTTCAAAACAGGAAAAAAAAAAAAGCTTGGGGGAAGAATTCTTCCCAGAACAATGGTGCAGTCTGTTATCTGCTCCTTTGCACTGTAAAGCACTGAATGTTCAGCCAATATAGTGCTCTGGTTGGCTTAGCATTCTTAACCTTAATTTTGAATAGAAGGTGCCTTGTGCTGCTGACGTAATTAGGGCCTTTTGTAAATCACTGTTGCAGGCAGTCTGCTGTTGCATTTCACTGCATTTCTCGGAGGGATGCAGGGCAAAAGTGTCACACTAACTTTCTGAACCTCTCTTCAGGCTAAGCGTTTTCATTATCGGAGTGTTTTATTCAGAAGGAATTCTGCTTCGTTTCCCTTTGTAGATAATAACCCCCAAATCAATTTTTCAAGTTAAACAGTGTTTCTGCTGGAAGAAGTTTGAATAGGGAGCCCTGAACATCTTAAAGTAGGAGATGCTTCCTTGAAAAAAAGAAGGGGGGGGGGGGGGGGGGGGAGGGGGGGGGGGGGGGGGAAGGAAACGTGAGAGGGTTGGATTTTACCAATTGACTTTAAATTAAGTCCCATCTGTGGTACAGGAATATTGTCGTCTGCCTCTCTTGTCACGGAAACTGTCAGAAAGTTTGAGCTGAAGCTTTGTCGTCGAGCCGGTTTCATATTTGTTGTTATACGCCATGCTCTGCAGCGTTGTGTGGGGACATGAAATCCCCATGCCTTTCGCGTAAGCATCTTAGGGGCCGTTGCACTCTTGCCTCTGCAGAGGCAAGGAGTTTCACCTGACTTCTCTCTCCCGTCCTCCAGGGCAGGGGTCAGCTCAGGCCGTTACATCCCCTCCTGATGCGGTCTTTTATATCCGTGATGTCCGTGGTGATACACGGCCTTGCGCTGTCCTTGATAGCAAACACAGCACTATTAATAGTCAGTGAAGTTAACCTGCTCGTTTCTGCGCTCACGCCGTCCACCCACTGAACCCTCGTCCCTGGGCCTTGAAGGCATCGTTAAAAACCCCCACTGCTGACCT